AGTGGGAATGCGCTGTTGGAATACCAAGATGGGCTGGCTTATTCACACATATGATGCTCATGGTAGCACACCTGACCCTTCCTGTTCTGTCTGGTGTCATTTCAGGGCAGTGGTAATAAAGATGACAAAAGTCCAACTGATGAAGTGGCCAGGACACCTAGTCCTGTGGAACCCATTCGTTATAAGGTACAATGCCTTGAATTCTTTGAATATACTTTCCACTAGCACTTGGTGTAAATTGCAAGGTGAAAATCCTAGTGAGTGTCAAATACATTATGTAACATACATGTACATGTACCCAGTACCGATCAATTTTGAGTGCAAAGACCTACGGTATTTAAAATTCAGAATAATGTACAGTGTACATGTATCTCAATTTACATGCATTTTGAAGTTTGCAATCAATTAAAGAATCAAAGAATGTGCCTAAAATGTACAAAAATAATGTTAGGTATATAAATTGACTATGAATCTTCCATGTAACTTCTGAACTTCAAAATAAACCACTGTTACCTTTTCTTCCATGTTTTCTTGTACACAGAGTGAACAGAGAGAGTTTGCCAATGATCCTGCTGCTGAAGCAGAGGTGAGCTTACTGGCATTGTGCTTTCAAACTAAGTAGATCCTTTTATTCAAGTGCTTCATTTGAAGTCCCATCAGGGCAACTCAGACACTTATCGTCATCATGCTGTAGTAATGTTCAGTGACTAAAATATGACGTATACGGGAAAGTTGGATTTCATTTGTGTCAGTGAGAACGGTCGTGTGCAAAACTGACAATTTGCCAGTATTCAAGAATGTTTATAAGTGCTGTTGGGAGAATAAGATCATAAGATGACTGATGAGATTTTCTATTGTATTTTGCCTCTTAGAATAACAGATTCCATTGAACACTAAACATTTATTATTTTGAATTCCAACATTCACTTTGAGTTAACCTTATGACCTTTGCTCCATGACTACAGATTATTGATAGCATTGAGAAGGAGTACTTTAATGATGAAGACTTTGATGGTAGTGAGTTTGAACTCCTCAAGGTGCCAGAGTTGGAAAAGATTGAATTGAGCAAACTCACTGCTGATAGAGACCGACTCAGGAGACAGCGTCAGGCGGTACAGTTCTCACACTTCTCAGACATTTTAAACTCAGGGTTTTTTGTCCTTCAACTTAAAACCTGTCCTGTATCTTCAGTGTAGATTCTATACTTTTCAGAATTCTTATTTATCAGCCCTCTTGGTCCAAAGACCACAAAGTCTGTAAGGTTTACTAGCTTAACCCTCCTATGCTGAAGTCACTCTTTGGATCACTTAGTAAACACCTCAAGGAAGCACAGCTGTGTCATGTTGTGCACTGCACTAACTGTCCCTCACAGGAATATCAGATTGCACTTTTGTGCTGCCCAACAACTGTGCTTCACTGTTTCATGTGCATAACTGTGCAGTAAACCAAATGCAGTGAAGAGGACTGCACAAAAGACCCTGGGTCATTTTGTGCTGGCATTCTACTGTGTACACACTGAACCTGTGCATGTTTGTGTTCCATATAGAAAATACATGCAAGTGACTGTGGGCATTTGTGCACATTTGTGCTGTGAAACCAAAGGAGGGTTAAGCTTCATTAACATTCATCTCAAATGATGTTGGTGGTAAAGCTGTTGAACAACTGTATTTTCTCCAAAATTAAACATTTAACCATGCTGTATGGCTGTGTGTAGGTTTTCTGTGGACACCCTCCCTGATCTAACAAAAGCAAACTTAAAATGCATATTTGTTGGATTTAAAAGGGATTTGTTTAAATGGAACACCAAGATAATTACCACATAAAATAAGACTGTTGTAATGAATGCGAGACAGAGACAACATGGGGACAGATGGACATGGGTCATTGATTTTGCCTGACATACATGTATATGTACATGTATATGTACATGTATATGTACATGTATGTGTACATGGGTGATCAGGAAAACAATCCTCTAGTCAGAGCTGCAGAAATCCACTCCTGTTGGACATGCATTGCTTGATTTCATGGATTCACTGCTAGTCCTAGTAGATGTAAGTGCTCAGTGAGAGTAGTCAATGAAGAATTTGACCATATTTTTTACTCCTCAGGTTTCAAAGAAGGTGTCTGATGTCGTGCTTGAGAATCAGTCGTCATATAGCAGGGTAGGAACTAGTCTCATTGTTTTCTAAAACTGAATTTCCATCTTCTGACTTATTTATTCTGTTTTCTTCAGTTTTCTGAACATTTATTAACAAAGTAAAGCAAGGACATAACATGCATGTGTTAAAGACATTGAAGTCACCAGTTCCATTGATTTCATGGTATATTCTTTGCCCCTGATCCTGTCAATGTCACTTTAATCAAACCCACATTGTAATCATGCACAATGTATGATACATGGAAATCACCTCTAATTAGCTGCTGTACTGTTGTTCAAGTTCGACCACTTTGTTACATGATGGTAACCCTTTACTGCTAGTACTGCCAATTGTAATAGACCCAGCTTTTCTTTAATATTAAGTGAATGCAATATCAAAATCTGAACTGTTTGTGTTGTAGGAACTACAACGAGTGACTGATC